AAGAAAGAAAGAAAAAGAAGAATTAAGAAAACAGACCAGTTATCTATTTTCTATTTAACTTGGGATAAAAGTTTGGAATTAAAAGGTAAAGCTCAAGTGCTAAGTATTCATTTCTTATTGATCTTTTTGTAAGGCAAGGAACAACATGAACAAATGCTTTCAGAAGATGTTTCTTCCTTCATATCTCAAACTATTGACCTGGATGAATGCTATATTAGTAAAAGTCCAAGTTCTAATAGGAGAATAGGGTAGAGTGCTAAGCTAAAGTGTGCCCAGCTACTTTGTGGCCTCTGTGTTTTTGTGTTAACGTAGCAAAGCATAGTTCAGATAACTATCAACGCACCCATTCCCTTTATTATTTAACCTTGAAATGCATATGCAAAATCTAGTATTTTACAATATAATTCAGATTTTTTTGAGTATGAACACTGAGTGGACATTCATAAGTTTACAATCCACATGGAACTATAACTTTCTATTTCAGCCATCTTTTCAACAGCATTTTGAATCTATACCCTCAACTGAACTTTAAAATTTTGCACCAAAAATATCTTACACTGAAGGAATATTTTGACTTCCATTTTAATTGTTTGAAAGCTGGGAAGGGAATTAAGGGGCATTTTGCAATTATGGTGAAATTAAACCATCCACTAGCCTTTCTTTTCCGTGTACCATACTTGGGCATTCGATATAAGCTTGAAAAATCTCCGCCATTCCATGTAAATAAGACTTATTTGATTGATACTTCTGGCTGCAACTGACCATATTAAACACTAGGAAAGTATTTTCAAGTGCATTTCTACCTGCAATGTGTACTGAGTTCAGTATTTTAGATTAAATGTGATAATTATGATCTGTATACCTGTTGTGGTAATTGAAAACTAAGTCATAAGGACATGTATTAGAAGTAAATCCATGTAATTCCCAATGGAATTTATTTAGATGGATTAGACAAGTAAGTTACAGAATACATGTTCTAGAACCAACCAATATTCATTATGAAAGCAAGACCTCAGGCTTATCTTAATAAAAGCAGAAATGGGTATTTTACTGACACTACGGATTTAGTAATAATTGATTAACTTGGCAGTTAAGCTAGGAACACAATACAGTAGAGCAATGTGTACAATATATACAAACTTCATGTTCGTCTATTAAAGACGTCAAAGGCATTCATTACACACCGTAATATATCCTACTTCATTGCATGGATGAAGTATGAACATTTATTGTCAGTCAGCAGACTATTCATACATATATAAGTACAAAGGAAGACATATTTTGTAAATTGTGTATGGCCAACATTCTAACTACTGACCAATAAGTAAATCACAGAACTGAGTGGTAGTCTAGTTACAGTGTAAGTACTTGCATATTCACAAGGTAAGTCTTTTTAGAATGACTTAAAAGTATGTCGTTCTAGAATAGAAGTATATTTCCTTCTTTTAAAAAACCTTTGGCACTTTTTTAAAAAAACGTATATCGCTATACACTTCAAAGATCAGGTAAAACCTTTGACAGTCTATTCCACAATGGTGGCAAGCATCTCTTCTATTGACAATAAAATACACAGTATATTCCTAGATGAAAGTAGTTGTTCTGATTTCTGATATTAACTCATTAAATTCTAAAGGAAAACTTATCCCAAATAAGGAATTCCTTTTTTTTTCTTCCTGAGGTACTACAGCTTCAGGAATTGTGAAGGGCACACTTTTAGCACAATCCATCAACTACTAGCAATAACTCTCCATAGGACCTATTGTTAGGTAGGTGTGCATGGATAAACACATACACATATAGAGCAATATGGAGCTCATAAAAAAGCCACCTGTGGAGACTGAGCTAGTGAGTTCCAGGGTGTTCTTGTATAATCATTCTAGCTAGCAAAAGCAGCCCTGCTTTGAAGTACCACCCCTTTGCAATTGCTGTGGCAAACTCCTCTAAGTAGCCCTGAGAATGGGTTGTCTTCCCAGCTGCAGTCTTAAGAGGTTGTGGAGTGTTGAGGTGGAAATGCAAGTAAACTAGCCGAGGATTCTAACGAGACATTCCAGGGAGCATCATGTGAGGAAAATGCCAAGCATACTTGTTGTATGTGCTCCACTGCCCCGGCTCTTCTCTTTCCCATAACATTTACCCACAAGGGCTATGCGATTAAACCTCAAACCCACAGATATAAATACAACAAAGGCTCTTTAACGGGCACTCTCTTCCTTGCCAGGAAGCTGATGAGCAGCCCCATGGATCATCCATCCCAGGATATACTTCAGGGCCGGGTCGATTTGGGCAAACACGGGATCAAGCGTAGAATCACCCCCAAATCTCGGTTTCCTTCAGTTTAACCAGCGGCGTTGTCAAATGCCCCTCAGGGGAAAAGAAAGTCTTTTCAGGCAACCTGCCGGTGTTTAACCCGCCGCTTCCTGCTCTTCCTCCTCCCCACCTCCGACCGGTACTCACACTCTCTCCGCGTTCCTGGGAATGCCTCGGGGCACCGTCTTAAGTCCCAATCCGTGACAATCCACGCCGGATCCCGAGCAGGTACATTTACTGGGACACGCTTCCGTGCCAGGCAGCCAAAGCGCCACGCTCCACAGAGCCCAAAACAAACAGAGGCGCCCCGAACTCTCGTTCCCTGCGCCCAGCATGATCGCCGCCTCTTCGGATAGAAAGGGGAGGGAGGGGGGCAGAAGCGAATTCAGAAGAAAAAGAGAAAACTTGAATCCGATCCCGAAACCGACGCGGGAGCCCCAACAGCCAAGCTCAACACCGCCGGGGGAAACGGGATGATGCTACGGAAGGCATATCTTTCAAACTCCAGGACTGGGCTCCGCTTTGCTCCTCCTACCCCCTCAGGACAAGCTCCGAAGGACGTCCCGGTCCCCCTCTTCGCAACCGAAGGCGCAACCTGCACGGCTCAGCTCTGCTCTGATCTTCCTTTGCCAAGTCCAGGTAATCGTCCGGTTGGGAAAGGCGGGGGAGCTCAGCAGCCCCAGACCGCCCAAGCCCGCCGCGCACAGCCCAACCAACGGCGGCCGCAGCTGGATCCAAATCCCAAGAACGGAGCCTGCAGAGCTTGAGGAGACCCGGGGGCGCTCGCAACCGGCCGCCTCTCCATGGACTGGGCACGGCAAAACAGGCGGACCCGGGAGACGCCCCCCTCCCCTCCCCAAAATATAACCTTCGGCGCGGATTGGCGGCCGCCCTTACTGACGTCACGCAACTTCGGAACTTTGGCAGGGTAGGTAGGGCAAAAGTTTGAAGAGCGGCGGCGGCTGCCGAGGGGAGTGGTGATGGGCGAAGCGGAGGTGGCTGGCCTCTTCGCGAGGTGCCTGAGCTGCACCCAGGCATTGGCAGGGCTGCCCTATCGGGCTTAAAGCGAGAGAAGCTAGTGGAACCTGATAAACTAACCAGTAGGTGCTAACGTAACTCTTAGCGGTTAAAAAAAAACGCGTTGAGTATGCACAAAAGTACCTTTCCCTTACTGCTGCAAGACGTAACTGTGATGGATCATCATTCACCTAGCTCTTGATAGCCTGGCTGATTTGGGCCCTTTGATTTCTCGTTTTAGAAACCAAAATCTCAACTAGTCACTAGTGTGCAGGAAGGAGACACAGGAAGCATTGACTGTCACTGGTTGTGTTTTGTTGTTGTTGTTGTTTTGTGAAGCAGGTCTGGTAGCCCTATTCTTCTATAAATTCCTTCATAAGGCGTTCTTACTATAATTATTGCTTACATTGAAACAGGATTCAGACACCAGATATTTTTGGCTAAAGAACAAGTTCCCAAACTGTGACTCAAGCCTTGCCTTCTATAGGTAGTATTGACTGGATCTTTATCAAATGTTGCCATTCACGTTCAAGATCATTATCCTAGCCAGAAGCAGTGAAGCTTGTTCTGTTAGAAATTACACTCATTTGCCAATGAATATCCATTTTAATTTGCAGGATTAATATAAGTCATTCATTCATTCATTCTGGCAATCTAATTTCAAATGAGTTTGAGCAGCTTACATCACAGATCCTGGTTCAAAATTCAACCAAACCCTAATCTTATTTACACACTGATTCCAAGTATTTTATTTCAGACCTGATTCCCTGTACTAAAACTTCATGGCCTGAAAGTTTGACCCTGGGTATGTCTTGAGTGTGTACTCTAACTTTCTGCCAGGCCATGTGACATGCACACCTGCACAGGGACACATCCAAAAAGATCTTTTTACACTCTGCTTTTGCCCATCATTATCAGCATCGTGTCATCATGTTACCTTTTGGGAAACCCTGCTAGATAGTGACTGTTTTCACATGACGCGTTTACCCCAAGTTAAAAACATGGTTTGCTCAACTAAAGCAGTTATCTGGATTTGTAAAATTGTACAGATGGAGTTTTCACAACACATTAGGCTGAAATGTAATTGGCTAGTTTTGGTTCACAGTGTCATGTTGATACACCCAACGAATTCTACAGAAAACATACTTCCAGATAGGGATCTATAGGAATAGGAGATCTGTGCTAATGAGGTCTAATAAGAGTTTTAACATCTGAACTAGTCAGAGGTTTTTTTGCTGAGTCTAAGCTTCCCTAAACATTTTGTTGATAGACAAGCTGCAGTGCCTCCAGCTTAGTTCTTTATCTGTAGTATAAATAATAATACAGTATCTATATATTGCAGCAATTAATAGGATCTATCCAACTTTGACTTACACTATTTGGAAAAGCTAGGTTGGTCCTGATTAGCTCTTGGATAGAAGATAGCTAGGAAATTCCTAGGCTGTCAACTAGACCAGGAAGTTGAACAAATTCAATATTGTAGAAGAAGGAGCAAACCACCTTTGTGTTAATGCCAAGAAAATTGGAACTAAAACTTCATCTCACAGAGAACCTTATCTTTAGCAGTATTGATCTGGTGAACAAACTTAGCCTAAGGATAAACCTGGGATAATATACTTGATGTGATTATGTACCTAGGAAAAAGAATTATATTAGTGTGTGTTATGTGGCCTTTCCTACATTAAATTCCAGATTGCAATGGCCAGTGGTGGAAGTTATAGGAACAAAATGTGAGATACAAATTCATTGTCCTTCCATGAATTAGATATTTTTTCTCTCTTTCCACATTCTTTGTTCTTTTCCTTATATGTAGCACCTTCCGGGGTTCCAAGAGTTTGCAATATCTTTGTTCTGTCCAAGCTTTTATAATGTTCTTGGAGAAAAGTAGACAAAAATCTCAAAACCTTTCTGAATGAAATGAGTTCCAAGTCTAGCACACAGAATTAAGTAGAAGCTTGTTTGATGGAGTGCAAGAAATTTAGCCCAACTTTCTCCTGTCGGGGTGCATATTTTCTCAGACACTACAAGGCTTTTCAGACACACGTTTATAGTTAACAGCACTGAGGGAAACCACCCAACATGTTAGCTTGTTCTATAAAATTCTCAGGTTACAGAACTTTCATGAAAATCACATTTTACTTATTTTTTCCCCACTCTTGTACTACCCTCTGGTGGTAGAAATGCTTTACATTTTTAACCAGACATAACTTTCCCAGTTGGAGTCATTTCTCCAAGAGAAGCACAATGACTTCCAATTCATTTAGATAATTTTCTTTCTTTCTTTTTCCTGCTTCATTGCTTGGAATTATATCAAGACAAGCTACATTTCGGATCATGCAATTCATGCCATTGGGTTTGTATTAATGGATATATTTATACAGTTTCTCTGGGGATAATTCTATTGATCTAGAACAGCAAAAACACTGCTGATTTTTCATCGAAAATGATGTCCACCTATGGTATTAAATACACAACAAGGGTGTGAAATCCTTGTTGATACAGCATATTTCCAGATAGGATATTCAAGAAATACACTAAGACTCAAAGGAGTATACTTCTATGAATAAAAGGGCAATTATAAAGCAAACTCTTTCAGGAAAAGTACTTCCAGTTTATCTTGAAAGTTCACTTATTGAATTTTAAAAATGCAATGATAATAAGGGAAGATATCTTTAGATTCCATTATTAAAAGGACTGCCTAAAAATAAGAATCTTTTTTATCATACAATTTACGGTGCAAAATGGCACTGCTTACTGAAGCTTTCCTTCAGAAATGTGCTTCATAGCTGCTTGCTTCAATTAGATTTAGCAAAGGCATCTTTATGGTGACTTCACCACTAAGGATGCATCCCTTCCCTGCCCTCTCCTCCTCTGACCTCTTCCCTTCATTTCCCACCCCACTCCGCGAGGACCATTTGGCCATTTTAAGACTCTCTATTAATCTCCACTCTACAATTTACAGCATCTTCTACACTCATCCAATTATTGTGCCAAAATAATAATAAAGGTGGACAACATTTACACTGCTTCAACAAAGGATGGCAATGCTATCAACAAGATGCTTTAAGTCACTTACAGTTCCCATTCCACCTTTTCCTGCTGCATCCTAGAACAATGTAACTTTTTCTCCCCTGTTTTTGTCCCTAGTCCAACAATCAAGCAGGTTGATTTTGGGACTAGGTGTATGGAGGTGTATGGAGGAAAACTTGAAATAACTCTTGGCACTATATTATAATTCATAATCTTGCTGTTTTGAATGAAAAATGTGGTTTCATTGGATCCTTCCAAATGCTGCATTATGTAGTTGGATGTTACCTCTTTATATGCGGAGACTGGGCAATTGTCCATAGAACCTATCTTTTAAAACACCTTGCATGCAAATGTACACACGGAATGCTTGAGATATGCTTTAGTGTCACTGCCATTTCTGCTCTTTTGATTTGTTTGGGAGGAAAGAGATAGAGGAAGAAAAGAGATTTGGAAGGAAAGAGATCACTTTCCAAGTTCTGTATTTCCAGGCAAGACTCAATTTTGTCCATATCAGTAAGACTGTTAAAATCAAAACCAAAGTATGATTGATACAGATACAGATAGATACAGATAGATACAGATAATCAGAGTTGGAAGGGACCTTGTAGGTCATCTAGTCCAACCCCCCCCCCGCCCAAGCGGGAGACCCTACACCATTTCTGACAAATGGCAGTCCAATCTCTCCTTGAAAGTCTCAAGTGATGGCGCTCCCACAACTTCCAAGGGCAAGCTATTCCATTGGTTGATTGTTCTCACTGTTAGAAAGTCCTTGTTTCCAGGTTAAATCTCTCCTTGTTTAGTTTCCATTCATTATTCCTTGTCTGGCCTACAGGAGCTTTAGAAAATAGCTTGACCCCTTCTTCCCTGTGGCAGCCCCTCAAATATTTGAAGACCGCTATCATGTCTCCCCTGGTCCTTCTCTTTACTAGGCTAGTCAAGCCCAGTTCATTGTATGTTTTAGCCTCCAGTCCCCTAATCATCCTGGTTGCTCTTCTCTGTACTTTTTCTAGAGTCTCAACATCTTTTTTATAATGTGGTGACCAAAATTGGATGCAGTATTCTAGGTGTGGTCTTACTAAGGCTTTATAGAGTGGTATTAGTACTTCCCTTGATCTTGACTGTATCAAGGATTGGGATTGCATTAGCTTTTTTGGCGGCTGCTGCACACTGCTGGCTCATATTTAGCTGGTTGTCCACTAAGACTCCAAGATCCCTCTCACAGTTACTGCTATTGAGCCTGGTTTCACCCAGTCTATGTGTACTTTTGGTTTTTCTTGCCTAAGTGTACTTTACTTTTCTCTGTATTGAATTTCATTTTATTAGATATGGCCCAGTGTTCTAGTCTGTCAAGATCCATCTGGATCTTGAGCCTATCTTCTTGGGTGTTAGCTATTCCTGCCAGCTTAGTATCATCTGCAAATTTGGTAAGTTCCCCTTGTTGAAAGGTGTCAAAATGCCTTTCCTTCGAGGATTCAATTTTCCCGCTGGGAGAGTTCCGGTGCAAGGATACGGACAACTGCTTGAAAGCTGGATCTTTTTATTTTTCAGGAAGGCGAGGGACAGCAAGAAGTCTGTGTTCCTGGGCTAGCTAGCTTCTTATGGTAAGTCCCTGGTTTTTTATACCCATTTCTCCCTTTGTGAGTTGATTTCATGTGAATGTTTGTATTTGTGCTTAATGTGTCAAATTCGGTTTGAGTTTGTCTTTATTCCTGCCGGAGGGCAAACTCCGCGGGGTGCGGAAGG